GTTTCAAGTCATAATGAATCTTATTGCACAAACTCATAGTTATAAAACAAACAGTATTTTAATATTAAAATGAAACTAGTGGTGCATGGAACTTCCATAATGAAATATTTGAATCGTTTAAAGCGCTCAATAGCCTTAGCAAAGATATGAACCATAAAAGCTGTAAACATAACCGACCAGAAAATAGCCTTCAATTTAATTTATGATTTATGATTATTATATTATATTATAATAATTTAAAATATCTCAATTTATAGTTTTTGTTATTATTAAGTTTGATTTGCTAATTTGTTGTTTTCTATACGTTTCAAGTCATAATGAATCTAATTGCACATAGACTCAAAGTTATAAAACAAACATTATTTTAATATTAAAATGGAACTAGTGGTGTATGGAACTTCCATAATAAAATAATCGAATCGTTTAAAGCATTAAATCGCCTTAGCAAAGATATGAACCATAAAAGTTGTCATCGTAACCGATCTGAACATAGCCTTCAATTTAATTCATAATTTATAATTATTATATTATATTATTATAATTTATAATTTCTCAGTTTATAGTTTTTGTTATTATTAAGTTTGATTTGCTAATTTGTAGTTTTCTATACTTTTTAAGTCATAATGAATCTTATTGGACATAGACTCATAGTTATAAAACAAACATTAATTTAATATTAAAATGGAACTAGTGGTGTATCGCATCGTGCCCTTAAAGCAAATTGCTGGAACTTCCAGTATCATAATGAAATATTTGAATTATTTAAAGAGTTCAATCACCTTAGCATAGATATGAACCATAAAAGTTGTCATCATAACCGACCTCAACATAGCCATCAATTTAATTTATAATTTATAATTATTATATATTATTATAATTTATAATTTCTCAATTTAAAAGTTTTTGTTATTATTAAGTTCAATTTGCTAATTTAATGTTTTCTGAATGTTTCAAGTCATAATGAATCTTATTGCACATAGATTCATAGTTATTTAGTAAAACAAACAGTATTTTAATATTAAAATGGACTAGTGGTGTATGGCATCGTGCCTTAAGGCAAATCGCTGGAACTTCCTTGATGAAATATTCGAATTGTTTAAAGCGTTCAATAGCCTTAGCAAAGATATGAACCATAAAAGCTGTAAACATATCCGACCAGAAAATAGCCTTCAATTTAATTTATGATTTATAATTATTATATTATATTATTATAATTTATAATTTCTCAATTTATAGTTTTTGTTATTATTAAGTTTTATTTGCTAATTTGTTGTTTTCTATAAGTTTCAAGTCATAATGAATCTTATTGCACATAGACTCATAGTTATAAAACAAACAGTATTTTAATATTAAAATGGAACTAGTGGTATATGGAACTTCCATAATGAAATATTCAAATCGTTTAGAGCATTCAATAGCCTTAGCAAAGATATGAACCATAAAAGCTGTAAGCATAACCAACCAGAACATAGCCTTCAATTTAATTTATAATTTATAAATATTATATTATATTATTATTATTTACAATTTCTCTCCATCTGTCTGAATTTGATAGTATACTCAAATATAATCCTAAAATTCCTTTCTCGTCCTTCAATTGGCAAAACGGCTTCTATGCAAATGCTCGAACACCATTTTCGCTCTTCAAGAAAAAAAACTTAAATAAATCTTCTATTGTTTTAAATTTATTATATAAATAAATAATATTTACTTCTTCCTCAGCCTGTAACGCCGCATACGTTCCGCAGCACTCTTATCCTTCTTCCTCGGGACCCCATTTAAGGCTGTTCTTTTCTCTCTCAGTGTTGCCTGAGCAGATTTTACTTTTTTTCCCATAATCGCTAACTCGGAAGATTCTGGAATTAACATGACAGATTCAGGAAATTTCCTAACAAATTCAGGCAATTTCCTGAATCTGATTCCTGATTTCTGAATACCTGACTCTGGAACATCGAACTCCTGAATAACAAAGTCCTGAATTACTGACTCCTGAATAACTGATTCCTGGATAACTGATTCTTGGATAACTGATTCCTGGATAACTGATTCCTGTTTTACTGATTCCTGTTCTACTGATTCCTGTTCTAGTGATTTCTGTTCTAGTGATTTCTGTTTTACTGATTTCTGTTTTACTGATTCCTGTTTTACTGATTTCTGTTTTACTGATTTTGCTGGAACCTCTGCTGGATGTCCTTCCCTCTGCTGTTTTTTCTGGAGAGCCCGTCGTGCCCTGAGTTCTCGAGATCGTTCTGTAGAAGTTTTCGCCCTAAATGGTGAAAGTATAGGATCAGTTTTAGGAGAAACTAGTGGTCTATGGAGGAATAGTGTTGTTTAAATAAGTTTTGTTGGAAATCTTTATAAATCAGCTAGTTTGTCAATTTATCGCGTTGCTGTAGCAAGGTTCTTATCATTAAGAAAGACGGTTACCTAAAGTCTGATATAAGAATCCACTAAATTTGGATTTGATGCTAAAGGACAGTCAAGCAATTTGCCGACATATTTTTATATCCATAGCTTCAACCCTGTTCTAATTGATCATGCATCCAACTAGAAAGGAAAGACACCCTCTTGACCATTGACGGACTTATTATACGGGTCATCCTTTTAGCATCTGCTGATGTTGCAGATTTAGCAGTCTTTTTATTTTGCTACCATCTCAATCTCTGATGATTCTAACAGTTGTTGCAGCCTAACCAAAACTATTTGTAATCGCTACAAGCCTTCTCACCATTTTTAAAACGTTGCAGGATATCGAATATTGTCTCAAGGGTGATGGATTTGTTAAAATTTGTAGTAAATCTACTAGCGGCAGTGGTCTTTCCATTTAATTGGGTAAAAATTAAATTTCTCTTCAAAAGAAGAAACAATGCACTGATAAGCAATTCATGAATCACTAATTGGAACAGAAAAGAAACCGCTTAGAAAGACGAAATCAATTCAAAAAACGAGCCAAGAATTGAACTCAAAACATCATAACATCTAACAACGCACGGTAAAAATTAATACAAATAGGTAATATCCTTCTAGTTTCTTTCAAAAAATACCAAAAGATCAAACCTAGTCTATAAGCAAATCCAAAAACTAATAATAAAATATTTACATTCATTTTTATTTTTTGTGGTTGGTTGTTGACCTTTCGTTGATTGTATTTGAACCGTCAGAATTGGTTCAGCATTTCTTCGCTCTAGTACAAGGAGAAATTATCTAGTATTCCAAAATGATTAGGAGGTCCGGAACCTTAACGAAAATTCTCTCTATCAATACAAATCAAATGGTTTTAGTGATGACTTACCTTCGGCGTCCATTACTCATCTGCAATAAACTTTTTAGCAGCACACTATCGCTATATCCAAGTCCGGCGGCATGTTTATCATACTCCGAGGTATCATAGACACTACCTGTAGAAGTTTTATGAAGTTAGCTAAAATGAAATGACATTATAAAATAACCAAGGAAAAATATTCTCACACTTCTAACTTTGTTGGTTTCTTTCTCTTAAGTTGGACAATAAACCTATTTATTATATATAACTATTGGTTACAAGAAAATGATTTAAACTCAATAAATACCAAATCTACCTAGATAACTTAATACACACCTAGTTCATATATTTACCTTTATCTATTACTCCTTTAGAATGCAGTAAATAAGACTAGTGAATAATATAATTCAATTTTAACGTTCAATGTCAGGTGTGTCATTAAGAAGCTGTCACTTCGTCGATTGTTGTTCGAGATGATTAATTGTTTAAATAATTTATAGACTTTGGTGATTGTTATAAATAATTGAGATGTTTATTTATAAATGAACAAATGGGTCTCACTTAGTTTAATAAAGTTACAATCCACTTTCGAAATAAAATCTTATAAAATTTCAAAAATAATCTTCGACTAATTTTATTAGACCAAAGTTATGGAAAATATGTGTTATGGTTAAAATTATTTATATGGTCTGTAATCATAGTTTTAAATTGATTATTTTTTTTAATTGTTTATGTGATCAGATTTTGGCTTATTTCGCCTATGTAAATAAGTTCGCAGTCTGAACAATTTATTTGATAAACTAAGTTTCTGAAGCGGTCTAAATAGATATATAATTATAATATTTCCAGTTCCAGTTTTCATACAAAATACTACTAAATACTGTCAAAATGCCATGTATTTGCTGTGCAATCAGGCGTTTACACCTAAAATGCAACTTCACTCATATGTTGTTAAATCACATCACAATGATTAAGTTATGATAACATAAATTTTTAGCACGATGTCGTCGAAGGCAAAATAGAAGGACTGCAATAATCGGGGGAAGAAGAATGCAGATGGTTGATGACTTACGCAAGAAGAGAAAATACAGGGAACTGAAGTCGAAGCACAAGAGCAGGGAGCATGGAAGCAGAAGTTTGGAGAGGAAAATTCATAAAAAAGAATATGAAGTGATTGATGGTGTATAAGTTTTCATACAAAATACTACTAATTACTGTCAAAATGCCATGTATTTGCTGTGCAATCAGGCGTTTACACCTAAAATGCAACTTCACTCATATGTTATTAAATCACATCACAATGATCAAGTTATGATAACATAAAATTTTAGCACGATGTCGTCGAAGGCAAAATAGAAGGACCGCAAGGATTGGGGGAAGAAGAATGCAGATGGTTGATGAAAGCCGAAGCACAAGACCAGGGAGCATGGAAGCAGAAGTTTGGAGAGGAAAATTCATAAAAACTAATATAAAGTGATTAATGGTAATAAAATGTTAATGGGAATTAGAAGCAAGGGAGGGGAAGAAAATCATTTACTTCCATGGACCTGCCTTCGGCCAGACTACTATTTATTATTATTATTATTTGCCAATAGACGTCATCGATTCAATTTGAATTGAATTCAAAAGAAGGAATGTCGTAACGCAATTCGATGAATGTGAATGGTGCGTTGGTGTTGGTGGTGTCATGTCGGACGACGGATGCCGTTGATCCAGCAAAGGTCAATTGTGTAACAGCATGTTGCTGTTGTTGTTGGTAATTTAATGTATTCCTTATTGTTTTGTTTTTATGAATAATAAAAGACCGGCATACGTAAAATTGATGTGCAGTATAACAATTTAAAACAATCATGGTTAATACAATTTCTCGCATAATACGCCACTTAACACCGGTTGTTATGGCTACGATATGTTACAGTCTGATCTTCATATAAACTAGTGGTGTATGGCATCGTGGCTTGAGTCAGGAACTTCACGTACCGAATTAAAATTAAAAAAAAACCTAATTGTTTTCCATATTAAAAAAAAAATTTTTTAAAAATTGAGAAAAAAACTTTTTTTTCGCTAAAAACAATCGTTTCGTCAACACAAGCTGCATAGTTTTTAAATCATTCAAATCGGATACTTAGTTTCCTCAAAAACTGCCCTTTCTATATTTAGCTCCGTATCTCCGAAACGACAAGTCCTGCCTTTGCCTAAAACTAATCACCACTTCTCCCCATAATTTCGAATTGAATGTTTTTTGGATCATTCAAATCGGTTGCTCCGTTCTCTCAAAAACTTGATTTCTATTTTCTGCACTCTTTGCTCCGTAACTCCGAAACGGCTGGACCTGCCTTTGCCAAAAACTAATCAACACATCTCCCTATCAAAAGGAATCGAATGTTTTATGAACCATTCAAATCGGTTGCTTCGTTCTCTCAAAAACTCGATTTCTATTTTCTGCACTCTTTGCTTCGTGTCACCGTAACGCCTGGACCTGCCTTTGCCAAAAACTAATCAACACATCTCCCTATCAATAGAAATCGAATGTTTTATGAATCTTTCAAATAGGTTGGTTCGTGCGAAAATAGAACACATAATAAAATAATAAAAATAATTCTAAAATTCTTGTTATACTCGACAAGACCTTTTAAATGAGACCCCACATGCCTACAACGAGACAAAACATAAAATTGAAGTGAAACTTTTTGAGACGTTCTAGTCAACAATAAAAATACTCAAACTTAATCACATTTATTAGGAAATCCAACAAGATTCTGATCAACGAGGGTAAATAAAGTAATATTCTTACGACATTTACCATATTCGTTTACAAAAAAGCAAAAAATGCACTTTTTCCTGTGTGAAAATAGAACACATGATCGTGTTATACACCAAATCGTGTTATACTCGACGAGACCTTTTAAACGAGACCCCACATGCCTACAACAAGGCAAAACAAAAAATTGAAGTACAACTTCTTGAGACGTTTTAGTCAACAATAAAAATGCTCAAACCTAATAAGGTTTATTACAATATCCAACAAGATTCGGATCACCAAGAGTAGCAAAAGTAAAATCTACATAATATTTTTACAAGATTTACCTTATTCGTTTACAAAAAAGCAAAAAAATCAACACTTTTTTCCTGTGTGAAAATATAACAAAAAATATTCTAAAAATCGTTTTGTACTCAACAAAACCTTTTAAACGAGACTCCACATGCCTGCAACGAGACGAAACACAAAATTGAAGTAAAACTTCTTTAGACGCCTGCAACAATAAAATCCACATTTTTTTCAAACCAAAATAAAATAATAAATATTGTACTATAATCGTATTATAATCGACAAGACCTTTTAAAGGAGACCCCACATGCATGTGACGAGACAAAACAAAAAATTGAAGTAAAACTTCTTTAGACGCTTCAGTTAACAAAACCTAATACAATAAAATAATTAAACCTGACCGGATTCAATTCGAAATCCAACATGATTCTGATCAACAAGAGTAGCCAAAATAAAATCTACATAAGTTTTTACAAGATTTACCACATTCGTTTACAAAAAAGCAAAAAAATACACATTTTTTCAAAACCATAATAAAATGATAAATATTATACTATAATCGTGTTATACTCGACAAGACCTTCTAAACGAGACCCCACATGCCTACAACGAAACACAACAAAAAATTGAAGTAAAACTTTTTGAGACGTTTTAGTCAAAAATAAAAATACTCAAACCTAATCAAGTTTTTTACAAAATCCTATAAGTTTCTAAACTTCTAGGGCCAAAATGAATTGATCACAAGAATCTTACAACATTTACCAACCACTCTTATCAAAAAAATCTGAAAAGTCCCAGATTTTTCATCCAAACCCGTTTCATTTCGCAAAACCCTCATTCCGGAGTCAACTGACCCGCCAACTTAGAATTTTCTTGTAACCTTTTAAATCTTACCACCTCCTTTCAAAAGTGTCTTCATCAAAAGTCTCCAATCACTTCTAGAGGAGCGCCTCTGCCATTTTTCGTGTCGTATAAAACGATTAACTCTTCCATTCAAACGACCATAATAAAATATTACTTTAATAGATCGTTAGATCGATATATAGATAATTAGATAAAATTGATTAGTTAAACTAGTGCCATGTACCGGTTTAGGATCATTGTGAGTTGTAATTCTATTAAATTTTTATTTTTTATCAATTTTGAAAATTTTATTATAAAATTTGTATTGTATTCAAAAAAACCTTTCAAATGATACCCCACATGCCATAAAACAAAAAAGTTTAATATTTGAAGTAAAACTTCTTGAGACACTTTTACTAAAAATGCAATTAAAGTTTGTGTTTTTGACAAAACTAAATTTTATTATAAAGTTTGTATTCTATTCAAAAAGACCTTCCAAATGATACCCCACAGGCCATGAAACAAAAATGTTTATTTTTGAAGTAATACTTCTTTGGATTTTTTTACTAAAAATGCAATTTAAGTGTATTATGGTTTTTGACATATCTAGATTTTATTGTAAAGTTTGTATTCTATTCAAAAAGATCTTTCAAATGATACCTCACATGCCATAAAAAAATATTTTTAATTTTTGAAGTAAAACTTCTTTAGATTCTTTTACTAAAAATGCAATAAAATCGTATATTTTTGACAAAACTAGATTTGAAAATTTTATAATGAAGTTTGTATTTTATTTAAAAAGGCCTTTCAAATGATACCCCACATGCCAAGAAACAAAAATGTTTAAGTTTTGAAGTAAAACTTCTTTGGATTCTATTGCTAAAAATGCAATTTTAGTGTGAAAACTTTGGCATAAATAGATTTTATTATAAAGTTTGTATTCCATTCTAAAAAACCTTTCAAATGATACCCCACATGCCATGAAACAAAAATGTTTAATTTTTGAAGTGAAACTTCTTTGGATTATTTTACTAAAATGCAATAAAAGTGTATATTTTTGACAAAACAATACTTAAATTTGTATTCTAGTCAAAAGGATCTTTCAAACGAAACCCCACATGCCATGAAACAAAAATGTTTAATTTTTGAAGTGAAACTTCTTTGGATTCTTTTACTAAAAATGCTATTATAGTGTATATTTTTGACAAAACTAGATTTTATTATAAAGTTTGTATTCTTTTCAAAAAGACCTTTGAAATGATACCCCACATGCTATGAAACAAAAATGTTCAATTTTTGAAGTAAAACTTTTTTGGATTCTTTTATTAAAAATGCAATAAAAGTGTACATAGTTGACAAAACTAGATCAGAAAGTTGGTATTCTATTTAAAAAGACCTTTTAAATGATACCCCGCATGCCATAAAACAAAAATGTTTAATTTTTCAAGTAAAACTTCTTAAGACTTTTTTACAAAAAACGCAATTAAAGTGTATATTTTTGAAAAAACTTAGATTTGAATATTTTATTATGAAGATTGCATTCTATTCAAAAAGACCTTTCAAATGATACCCCAAATGTCATAAAACAAAAATTTGAAATTTTTGAAGTAAAACTTCTTCAGATTTTTTTACTAAAAATGCAATTATAGTGAATATTTTTCACAAAACTAGATTTCATTATAAAGTTTGTATTCTATTCAAAAAACCTTTCAAATGATACCCCACATGCCTTAAAACAAAAATGTTTAATTTTTGAAGTAAAACTTCTTTGGATTCTTTGACTAAAAATGCAATTTTAGTGTATATTTTTGACAAAACTAGATTTTATTAAGGTTTGTATTCTATATAAAAAGACCTTTCAAATGATACCCCACACGCCATAAAACATAAATGTTCGATTTTTGAAGTAAAACTTCTTTGGATTCTTTTACTACAAATGCAGTAAAAGTGTATATTTTGATAGAACGTTTATTATAACGTCTGTATTATATTGAAAAAGATCTTTCAAATGATACCCCACATGCCATAAAACAAAAAAGTTTAATATTTGAAGTAAAACTTCTTGAGACACTTTTACTAAATATGCAATTAAAATTTATGTTTTTGACAAAACTAGATTTTATTATAAAGTTTGTATTCTATACAAAAAGACCTTTCAAATGATACCCCACATGCCATAACACAAAAATGTTTATTTTTGAAGTGAAACTTCTTTGGGTTCTTTTACTAAAATGCAATAAAATGTGTATTTTTGACAAAATCTACATTTGAATTTGTATTCTACTCAAAAAGACCTTTCAAATGACACCTCACATGCCACGAAACAAAAATGTTTAATTTTTGAAGTAAAACTTCTTTGGATTCGTTTACTAAAAATATAATTAAAGTATATATTTTTCACATATATAGATTTTATTATAAAGTTTGTATTCTATTCAAAAAGACGTTTCAAATGATACCCCACATGCCATGAAACAAAAATGTTCAATTTTTGAAGTAAAACTTCTTTGAATTCTTTACTAAAAATACTATTAAAGTGTATATTTTTGAAATACTAGATTTTATTATAAAGCTTGTATTCTATTCAAAAAAACCTTTCAAATGATACCCCACATGCCATGAAACAAAAATGTTTAATTTTTGAAGTAAAACTTCTTTAGACTCCTTTACTACAAATGCAATAAATTTGTATATTTTTGACAATCTACCTTAACTTTTTTGTTAATTGCGGTGTTTGATATAAAACTTTCACGTCTCACACGCTCTAATATCTTTTAAAATAAAATTTAACATTTTCATTGTTTTTTATTTTTCTGGATAAAAATATGGAAATATTCATCATGTTGTTACTTATATGTTCGTTTGTCTATAAAAATCATATTCTACTCATCGAGACCTTTCAAATGATATCCCACAATCAATAATAGATGCAACATAATTTTTTGAAGTAAAACTTCATTAGACTAGACAATTTTGGCAATTGTTACAATTTTAAATGATATTCAAATTCTAGTCATCAAAGCCTTTCAAACGAGACCCCACATTCCACATAAAATCTAAACATTTTTTTTTGAAGTGAAACTTTTTTTGATCTCGATAATAATTATTTTTATAGATTACAGAATGAAAATAAAAAAAAAATCTTAATCAGCGACATCTAACCACTTAATTTTTTTATTCCTTTTTCCAGATAGCTCTGGTGGTTTCGATAACATCACTGGCCTACTCTTTACCTCAAAGAGGAAAATTTCAACCCTTGGGAGCCCCTGCACCACAGCAGGCACTTAATCCAGGGAAACAAATTCCGATTTTGAAATATGCCTTTGAACCTAAACCTGACGGTTCTTATAATTACAAGTAAGTAAAAAGGTGAAGTGAAACTTCGTAAGGTCGCAATAGAAATAGGAAAGGGTAGAAATTGATTTAGCAGTTGTTCGTCGATTAATAGAATAATCAGAAGTTGCTGGTCGAATAGAAGGCTCAGCAGTGGTGGATTCATGGAAGGCTTAACATTTTCACAATCTTCGCTGATATTGCTGGTATGGTCATCAGCAATTTCCATAAAATTGTCGATATTTTAAGCTCACCTTCTGGATTTTCTTTGATCTTCTCACCTTATATTCTTGGTGGTACTCTGTAAGTGTCCTCCTAGAAGATCCAGCAGTCATTGGTCAATTAATAGAAGACTCAGCAGTTGTAATTTGGTCTACTAAATTAAATTGATGAGTACCTTGTCATGTTCACGTGCTGGGTACACTTTCTGGTATTCTGCTGCAGATTTTCTTATTTCCCTAGAATTCTTGTTAGTACTCTGCAGGTGTCCTTCAAAAAAATCCAGCAGTTATTAGTCAAAATAGAAGACTCAGCAGTTGTTACTTTGCTCCTAGTTCTATATTCTCGGTTATATTCTGCATGTGTCCTCATAGAAGATCCAACAGTCATTGGTCAATTAATAGAAGACTCAGCAATTGTAATTTGGTCTACTAAATTGGATTGACGAGTACCTTGTCATGTTTGGTTTTTTTACGTGCTAGGTACACTTTCTGGTATTCTGCTACAGATTTTCTTATTTTCCTAGAATTCTTGGTGGTACTCTGCAGATGTCCTTCTAAAAATCCAGCAGTTATTATTAGTCGATTAATAGAAGACTCAGAAGCTGTTACTTTGCTCCTATCTCCATATTCTCGGTTATATTCTAGCTAGGTATCCTTCTAGAAGATCCAGAAGTCATTGGCCAATTAATAGAAGACTCAGCAGTTGCTACTTGGTCCACTACCCTCTATCGATGTTGATGGAATTGTGGTTAGCAGATCAATAAATACCTTGTCATGTTTGGCTTTTTCACGTGCTGGGTAGACTTTCTGGTATTAGGTTGCTGATTTCCTTGTTTGCCTACAAAGACAACCCACCACTAGTTCCTTCCAACGACTCTTTTTCCTTTTCTTGTTTTGCTTCCTTCTCTGTGATCATGGTAATGTTCTGCTGATTTGCATTTTGGATGTCTTGAACGTTTGGAACAATTTACTAATAACCACTAATAACCACTCAAGATCCTAAAGCAACAGGGTGTACACACAAAATGCAATAGAAAATTACTAATATTCTAGAAATCAATTATAACCTCAAAATTTACTTCACGACATAACCTCAAAATGTATTTTCAGTTATGAGACCGGTAACAGCATTCAAGTAGAAGAGCAGGGATTCCTGAAAAATGCTGGAAACAAAGACAACGAGGCTCAAGTGAGTAAAATTTAATAACTCATTAATAGTAAAACCCCGTTAAGACGATTGTATGCAAAAAAGTGTATTAGGCGAAATAAGGCATTGTTAAAATTGCAGACACCGGTGTAAAGTAGCGTATTATGCGAGAAATCGAATAAAGCACAATTGGCTTAACAGGGTTCTACTGCATATTCTTAAATGTGAAAGATTACATCAACTCCAATTTTGCACTGTTTTTGCTAATTGTAAAGAAAAGGCTCTGCCGATCGTCTTGCAAAACTAATCAACGCGAGTCCTTATCAGTTTACACCGAATGTCTTCTAAATTTATAAAATCGGTTTAGACGTTTTTGAGAAAACATCGACGAAAGATCACATTTAGCTCACACAACTATACTTTTTTTAACTCTGGTGTCAACCTATTCAGAATGACTTGATACATCAAGTTTGTAAGTCGGATTTTCTGGTCAAGACATCATTTTTTTTTTCCTTTTTGAGGTTATGCAAGGCTCCTACTCCTTCACCGGCCCTGACAACATAGTTTACACAATCCACTACATAGCCGACGAGAACGGATTTCAGGCTCAGGGGGCCCACATTCCTACCGAAGCACCCGCCAAGGCAGCACCGGGAGGACCCGCCAAAAAATTCTTTTAATAAATAATAGATGAAATATATAATATACTATTATATATATAAATAGAAATATTAATCGAGCATTAATTTTGTGATTTAAATAAATAAAAAAAATATAATATATTGTAATTATTCATTCATTGTTTATGTAAATTGTCATTTTGCTATGAGAATTGTATTCTAGTCCTCGAGACCTTTCAAATGATACCCCACAAGCCATATAAACTACTACCAAGTTTTTTTGAAGTAAAACTTCTTTAGGCTCAACTTAGTAAAAATATGCAAATTGACTATTTGTTAAACTGATCAAATGAAATTTACACTTCAGATTTGTATTGTGCTCCCCGAGATTTTTTAAATGATATGACACATGCTAAAAATTAAATAAAAAACAATTATTAAAAATAGTAAAAAATGTAAAGTTTTATTAAAAAGATATGTGAAATTCAAAGAAACAATTGAATAATCATATTCTATACAAAAAAACCTTTCATACGATACCCCAAATGCCGTAAAAACACAATCTAAATTTTTTGAAGTAAAACTTCTTTAGACTCGTTTACTATAAAAGCAATAAAAGTGTATATTTTAGACAAATTTCTTGAATTATCCTTATTGCAATACACTTCTTTTTAAAAAATCATTAATTTCTGATAAAAATTTATGTTGGAGTTAATGAAAATATATTAATGAAAATCTTTAAAAATATTTTAGAATTCAAAAAATTATTTAAATATTCATATTCTGTTCAAAAAAACCTTTCATACGATACCCCACAAGCCGTATAAACTTATTCGAATTTTTTTGAAGTAAATCTTCTTTAGGCTCGTTTGGAGTAATTGAAGATATATTAACGAAGCACTTTAAAAAAATGTAGAATTTAAAAACAAAATTTAAATATTCATATTCTACTCAAAAAAACCTTTCATACGATACCCCACATGCCGCAAAAACCTAATCAAAATTTTTTGAAGTAAAACTTCTTTAGACTCGTTTAATTAATGAAGCTCTATAAAAATACTGTGGAATTCAAAAAAGTATTTAAATATTCATATTCCATTCAAAAAAAACCTTTCATACGACACCCCACATGCCGTAAAAACATAATCTAAATTTTTTTAAGTAAAACTTCTTTAGACTCGTTTAATTAATGGAGCTCTATAAAAATATTGTAGAATTCTAAATATTATTATATGCACATGCCGCAAAAACATTATCTAAATTTTTGAAGTAAAACTTCTTTAGGCTCGTTTAATATAGAAGCAATAAAAGTGTATATTTTAGACTAATTTCTATTTTTTTCCTTATTCAAACACAATTTTTTTAAAAGATAAAAATTTTGATGCAATTAATAAAAATATATTAATTTTTTGTGAAATTGATGAAAAAACATTAACTTTGAAAATATTTTATAATTAATTTTTTTAACTAAATTTTCATATTCCAATCAAAAAAACCTTTCATACGACACCCCGCATGCCGTAAAAACACAATCTAAATTTTTGAAGTAAAACTTCTTTAGCCTTGTAATCTATAAATGCAACAAAAGTATAGAAAATAATCTTCAAAAATATTTCAGAATCCAAAAAAAATATTAAATATTTATATATACGTATATATATATATACATATATATATATATATATATATATATATATATATATATATATATATATAAATATAAATTAAATAATTATATGTATAACTTCTTTTTACTCGTTTACTATAAATGCAATAAAAGTGTATGTATTAGACAAATTTCTTTAATTTTCCTTATTCGATTACACTTCAAAACCTCTCATACGACACCCCACACGCAGCAAAAACATATTCTAAAATTTTGAAGTAAAACTTCTTTAGACACGTTTACTGTAAATGCGAAAAAGTCTATGTTTTAGACATTTCTTTTTAAATTTCCTTATTAAATATCATTACTCGTTAATTAAAATTCTCGATGAGATTATTGAAAACATATTAATAAAACTCATTAAAAATAATATTGGATTTATAAATATTTATTTAATATTTTGTAAAAATAAATAAAATCAAAAAAGTATTTAAATATTCATATTCTACCCAAAAAAACCTTTCATACGATACCCCACATGCGGCTAAAACACAATCTAAATTTTTTGAAGTAAAACTTCTTTAGACTCGTTTTCTGCAAATACAAAAAAGAGTATATTTTAGATTTTTTTTTAAATTTCCTTATTAAATACCATTAGTTGAAAATATAATTATAAAGCTCTTTAAAAATAATGTCAAGAAAGTCCTTTATTTAATTTAAAAAAAAAAGCTTGACTCTTTTTTTTATTAATAACGTATCAAAAATTTGTTAAGTTAATAACAAAATAATGTTCCTATAACAAATTGTATTTGTATATTTTATTTGTTCTATTTTAACAAATAAATTATACAAACATTTTTAAATTTTTGAAAAAAAACGCCAAAATTTTCATCAACTACGGCAACCCTAGCAGTTGACAACCAAATCGGCGCTAGAACTTATTTTTAATTTAACAAATTAAAAATAAGTTGTAACGCAAATGGTTAAGTATAAATATACAAAATTGAAATAAAATGTAAGATTTTAAGTTGATAATATTTAAATTATTAAATATAAAATTGTTTAAGTCAAATCATCAATGGACGATTGTCAAATTCCAGAAGGACATGAAGGTAAGATACACAAAAACAAATGTCAAATTTTATAATAAAAGTGTATGATTTCTATTCTAGACGAAGTCTCTGACCATAATAACAATGCTGAAAATGATAAAGATGGCCCAGAAAGTCCAGGGGTGTATTTAATTGAAGTAGAGCTAGAAACAATTGTAATATCTGATGATGAAGAACCCTTATCCGAGCAAGCTTCTGCACCTAAAAACAATCTTGCAGGGAAAATATCTGATGATGTTGTCCCTTTATCCTTGCGAAGAGCTCCTGCACTCAAAAACAGACACCTGGTGGAAATGTCTGATGACAAAGTTCCTTTATCCCTGGCATCCAAAAACAATCCCATATCCCAAATGTCTGATGACCATAATAACAATGCTGAAAATGATAAAGATGGTCCAGAAAGTCCAGGGGTGTATTCAATTGAAGTAAAACGAGAAACAATTGAAATATCTGGTGATGAAGTCCACTTATCCGAGCAAGCTTCTGCACCCAAAAACAATCTTGCAGGAGAAATATCTGATGATGGTGTCCCTTTATCCTCGCAAAGAACTCCTGCTCCAACAAAAAAAAACACCTGGTGAAATGTCTGATGACAAAGTTCCTTTATCCCTGGCATCCAAAAACAATCCCATCTCTTCCCAATGCTGATGACCATAATAACAATGCTGAAAATGATAAAGATGGTCCAGAAAGTCCAGGGGTGTATTCAATTGAAGTAAAACGAGAAACAATTGAAATATCTTGTGATGAAGTCCACTTATCGAGCCCTTCTGCACCAAACAATCTGCAGGAGAATATCTGATGATGGTGTTCCTTTATCCTCGCAAAGAACTCCTGCATACAAAAAAAACACTGGTGGAAATGTCTGATGACAAAGTTCCTTTATCCCTGGCATCCAAAAACAATCCCATATCCCAAATGTCTGATAACCATAATACAAGCTGAAAATGATAAAGATGGTCCAGAAAGTCCAGGGGTGTTTTAATTGAAGTAGAGCTAGAACAATTGTAATATCTGATGATGAAGACCCTTATCCGAGCAAGCTTCTGCACCTAAAACAATCTTGCAAGGAAAATATCTGATGATGTTGTCCCTTTATCCTTGCGAAGAGCTCCTGCACCCAAAAAAAGACACCTGGTGGAAATGTCTGATGATGGTGTTCCTTATCCTTGCGAAGAGCTCCTGCACCCAAAAAAACGCTGGTGGAAATATCTTATACAAAATTCCTTTATCCCTGGCACCCAGAAACAATCCCATACCCAAAAAACCTGATTACAAAATTCCTTTATCCCTGGCACCCAAAAACAATCCCATATCCAAAATATCTGATAACAAAGTTCCTTTATCCCTGGCGCCCAGAAAGAATCCCATATCCCAAATGTCTGGAAACAAAGTTCCTTTATCCCTGGCACCCAGAGCCAATCCCATATCCAAAATATCTTATATCGAAGCCCCCTTATCTATTACTCCTGCATCCAAAAAGAATCGCATATCCAGAATACCTAATGACAAAGTTCCTTTACCTCTTGCTCCTGCACCTAAGTACAATTTTGTATGTGACATCTGTCAAAGAGAATTCTCTTCCAGATATTTTACGTAAACACAGATCAGGACACCGAGAGAAACTCGTATTTGAATGTGAATTCTGTCCCAAGATTTATATTACAACTCAGCACTCAAGATGCACATTGAGCACACCATAACAACACAGACAAGTTCAAATGTGATATTTGTCCTAAAGAATTTAACACAAAACTGGCTCTAATCTGGCACAACCAGCCCATTTGAACAACAATGCTATTGTGATGTTTGTGAGAAAATGTTTGCTGATAAGGAGTCTTTAGAGGTGCACATGAAACTGCACAACGAGATCAATGTTACTATTTGCTACAAAGTGTTGGACACCGAGGAGAACTATCCAATCATGCCAGGATACATGAGTTTTATTCCCCAATGCCTGAAGACCGTTAGCAGACCTCAATGCTTTTTAGTTGTGGTAAAGTCTATCTCCGGCCTTCGAGTTTGAAGGCTCACATGTCCAAACACAATGGGCCTTTCGAATGCAAAATCTGTCATGTTTGTGTATGACGTGGAATGAGACTGCAATGGCACATGAAACGAAATCATAAAGGTTATTATCAGTGCAAGGATTTGTGAGAGGTTATTTACTTTTACTGGGCTCGAGAATCATATGAGGTGGCATAGAGGGACTTTGGTTTATAAGTGCTCCGATATGCATTTGAAGTTTATGAAAAAGGTTCCTGATAGAACATCGTAGAAAGCATTACAGTCAATAAAAATGGTTATGCAGGTGTTAAGCATGAAAAATTATAAAATTGACG